TTTTATGAGCAATTAATGATTCACGCAAAGCATAGAGGTATATTTCTATTCTCTATCGAACCCTACGATGATACATACCATGTTAAATCTATTTCCCTTCTCTCGAACGGAAGAAATAAATTATTACACATCACATAATTGCGTGCACTCAATCATGGATGAAATTAATGTATATAAATCATTCAAATAATCAAATGTACGTTTAATTATCAAATTGCAAAAATTAAAATCTAAAGTTCACTGATCTCCTAGTACAAGAAAACTTGCCAACATTGAGAAACTAAAGGAATATATGAATTCTTGAAAATAAAACATCACCAAGTATAGAAATTGGGTGAAATCTTGATGCTATTCATGAAATCCGTTGCTGATCTCCCTCAATTTAATCTCCAAGAAGTGTTTTGTTCTCCTCCAATGCGTTCTTGCCCTAATTCTGACGAACCTAGGCATTTATATTGCGTAAAAGTCGATGTCTAAAAGAGTTTTATTGAAAAACGAAAACTACAGAATTGACCCTCGAAGTATGCTTATGCGACCGCATAGGCTTAGAGAATGTGGGGTTTTCACTTTCGGTGGGTACCTATGCGACAACATAAGAGCCACTTTTTTTAAAATGTTGATTTTAGTCCTTGAACTTTCTTCTCTACCATTTTAACCTCGTTTTTTCCTTCTTTTCATTTTATAGATCAATGCTAACTTCCAATTGGTACTTGGCTTAATCAAATCTTTGATTGCTCCTTTGGTACATCTTTTGGATATATGCATTTTGGTCCCTGAACTTTCATTTTGATTCATTTTGGTCCTCTTAGCTTCTTTTCTCGTGAATTCCATCATCTCCAACAACAAACCCTACAATCCAAAAATTAAATGAATTTAGGTCACATTTCAAACACTTTGCTCAAATTTTAGTCATGTTTGTGAGTTATATAAGTACATAAAAACGCACTTATCAAACCAATAAAGCACAAAAAGGAAAACATGACAAACCTCATGAACGAATAAAGCGCAGAAAGAAAAGTAATCCAAGTATCATATGCTATATTGTTCACTCAGTAAGTGTAATTTGACCTAACCAATGCTCAAATGCGGATAGTTGTACTAGTGTTGGGTTGTGCTTTCAGGTTCTAACTGGACAATGAACTTTATTCAATCGATGATTTATCTCCTCTCTTAATATCAGCATCTTGTTTTGCCATACAAGCCTAAAATAAAATATAAAAAAAAAAACTATCAATCTCCAAGAAACAAGATCAAGAATCGATCAATGAAGGTAATTTTACAGACTTACAAAATTGGTGATTAATGTTCCTAGGTGTGGAATTGAGAATTTAGTTCGAAGGTTTTAAAAGAAATTTTCACGAATTTATCCTTGAGGCATCCATCCAATGAAGTGTGTAAAAGGTCCCTCATGAATTAAATCATTGATCAAATCAGCAATTTTTCAACAGGCCATTTACATTATACAAAGTCTTAATATGCTCAGTTCAATTCTCCAGATGCAGTCAAGCACACCAAGCGTAATATGCACATAAGTGAAGACAAAATAATTAAGATAAGGTTGTTCCATTGAGTAATAGGAACTGAACATAATTTTCAATTTATCTTGTTAGATTTCACATGTGCCATATATTTCGACCTACACTAGTGAGAATATTTATAGTGGAAATTACTAAAATAGTCAACTTTTGGGTTTTCGTTTACAAAAATGTCACCTTTTTAAACTCATTGCAAAATTGTCAATTTTGGTCTTTTTTGCCCCTCTAACTAATTTCAACCCTTCTATGTCCTTCATTAAATTAGACAAGACTAGAGTCTGAAATGTCAAGGTACTTACTAAATGCATTGATGAAAAAAAAAAGAACTAAACAAAATCTGGTGAAGAAGGTGAACCGACCAGACAAAATTTGGAATTCTCAAAATGGTCCGAGCATGGAAATTCCTTGTGAAGATCCTTGCGCTGATTTATTCTTGATATACAAAATGAAGTGTTTTTACACCCAGTGATGACCTGGCAAATGAGATACTTGCAACTTTAGAGGTAAGTGGTGAAAAACTTTGGAGGATGTCCCTGGAAGAAAGTTACTGGGAGTTCATGAAATCTAGAGTGGCTGATATGGTTAACACCGGTAGTTGTCAAGGCGGTTCCATGATTGCAGCTCTTTTCTTGAAGCAGGTACAGCTTCCCCTATCCCCACAACCCTTTCTTCCTTGTTGAATCAGCATTTTGACAATATTAAGTTTGTTTTACCTTATGTGCATTTGGTGTATACTAAATTAGCTTTTTACTGAACCATTTTGAAAATTGCAGAATAGTTGTAAATCTAATGGCCTAATTTGTAGTTTGGAATGGTTCTAATGGCAAGTAGGTAGATTTCAAATCTAGAAAATTGGCAATTTGGAAGGGGGCTTCAAATGTTGGACCGATGGGGCTTATTTCTGATGGCAAAAAATAAAAAACAAAATGTTCCTTTTGTCAGAAGAAATCGCCTATTTGAATATGGAAAAATTGGGTGCTAACATGTATCTTTGTATTGGCTAAGTTCACAAACTAGAGATACATGGGTCGTTGTGGGAGTTTAGTTTTTGTGTGTGTCGGAGCACAGATTACGTTAGTATCACAATGACTGTTGCTCACTTGAAGGCATTTGTGTCAAATTTGAATTGAGAGAGGTGATAAATTAGTAGGCAAACTAACACTCCAAATGGTGAAAGAATCACTCCCACTCTATCTCGATTGGATCAATAAGGGATTTTTTTATGGACCATTGTCTCACACATTTACCTCTCTTACAAAGCCTGGCAGCATTCAATTATCTCCTGTGTCCTCTAATTTTCTTCTACATCATCCTTCTTTTTCGAACACACCTAGCAGCAATGGACTCTCTTATTTATCCTTCTGCAGATTTCGTCCAACCTGGGGTAGAAGCAAGTATTGACATTAAAATATACCATTTTCTTATAAAGTCTATTTACACTTCTATTACGGCCAATCCAATTTTGAAATCTCTCTGCAACCCTCCAAAATTGGTCTTGGGAAATTTTGAGAATCTGAAAAAAAATCAAGACCACCATTTTCATGCTATCTACAAATTGAATGTTAAGGCAATTAGTTTCAACATAAGTCGCTTCTCGACCGCAAGGCCAAGGGACGCGCCGCGGCGAATAAAGATAAAGGCAACAAATTCACCGCCGAGGACATCATGCATACCGTTGATTAGTCGGCTACTTTGAATCTTTGAGTTTATTGTTGTTTCTGACATTAAATATTGCATCTTAATTATAGGGAGAGAGAAACTATGTTTGTGCTCCTATTTTTTTGGTATTTTGATGGACTAATGGATTTTGATTTTAATTTTGTTATATGCAATGGTGATGGTTACAAATCATGATATTCAATTAATTAGTATAATCCGTGTGTTCGCTTCTATAATTATTACTTAAGATATTTGTGGTAGTTAAAAATCTCATTATTAGGTAGGACTGGGTAACTGTGTCATATTTTGGCAAATGATTTGATTAGCTTTGTGAATAAGTGGTTGTGCTTAACATTTGTATTGAGTAACGCTTAACAAATTGTTGAAATATTGACTTTCTGGTCCTGATAATGTAATATTAAAATCGTTTTAGGTTAATTACTGATGTTAATAATTGAAATGAATGTTATTTATGAATTTGTTCTTGGAAAAAAATTTGATGGAATTACAAATTGAAATATATTGCACTAGTTGGTGTTTATACTGGAGAGAAACTTTAACTGATATATACAATGAATTAGAATTGATTTTGATAAATATTGTTTGGTCGGTGAATCGTCGAACTTGAGATTGTTTTACACATTTTGTATTTATGATAATTAAATATCAAACCTAGCTTCGCTTCAAACTTGTACATGAGGAGTTACATATGACGTGTCAAAAAGAGAATAAGAATGTTTTTTTTTTTGACGAAATTCAGAGTGAATCATATCTAACCACAACATGTGTGCGTAAATCATTATGTAAATCACTACATTCTTTTGCACACTAGTAGTACCAACAATTTTGTAATCATCACTTTTATGGTGCAGATATGTTTTAGAGTGTGTGATTTATGACATTGCATTTTACATTTTCGGTGTCTGAAGTGCTTTTAGATTCAAGATTTTGCCAAAGCAAAGATTATGTGTCATTTTATTATTGAATTTAAAATTAGCAGATTATTCCATAAAACTCGTATGCAATAAGTTGTTTGAGACAACAATTAAATCAATAATAATTCAGTATGATTAACAAAATTTTGTCTGCAATATGAGTATTCGATAAACAATCATCTATTTTCTTCAAAAATTATAGCACATCAATTGCTCTATTTATTTCATTCGGTAAATGGCACCTTTTCAGTGTCATCTCCGAACATAAATTATCTCCAATAACTGTACAAACATCCATATGTTTTTTTTATACCCTCAAATGATGGGGTATGTTGATTCGAGATGTGCTTAGTTTAGGGTGCACGATTTTGTTATCTTTTTCCCTCAATTCTTTTATCTACATAAAGCCTTATGCCAATATTTTTGTTGGGCTTGATTGAATTCTTTCTTAGTTTAGGGTTTTTTCATTTTGCACTTGTAAAGATTATTTGGGCTTAAAGGTTTGAGCTGTGTTTCATTTGCGTATCCTTGTGATTGAACAGAAAATATTGTGCATTAATAACATTCTATTGCTTCAGTAATATTTTTGCACTCATGTTTCATTTTGAATTGGAGTATATTGTTCATAGGTGGCTCTTGGAGGACTGGTCCAATCATTCTCTTCGGTAATTATGTTATTTTTATTTTCTCATATGTTTTTTCCCCATTTGTTATGATTCAGTGGCTTTGATTTTGCCTAAAAAAGAGCAAAGGAAGCTTCTAAGGCTCAATGATGATTCATTCTTTTTTTCTCTTTTTTTTTTTTATCATTTCTCATATTTTTTTTTTTATATTTCTTTATCTTTTATTCTTTTGTGTTTGTTTTGTTGATTTTGAAGATAAAATGTTGCCTCCAATTTGAGGGTACAAGTGTAACATGCAAAAATGAAATTTTTTATCAAAATCTTGTTTTCGGGAATGGTGTATTAGTTGAGAGGTGCATTATTGTAGCTTGAAATAGCAAATTAACGTTATTGTATAATACATGGATAACCGTGATATCTTAATTTAATCCCCTTTGATGAGCTAACTATTTTGGTGTAATACCGAAATCATTATCGTATAGATTTTATTAGTTTATGATGCACTTATTGGAAGCATTTCGTAGATTCTTTCATGCCTTTTTTCAGTTTGCAGCTTGTGTTTCAACACTCAATTTGGAAAGTAATTGACCTAAAAGGTTAATGGCAAAGTATTAGTACTGAAAGGAGTAGTAAACAATGAAGGCAAAGCAAGAATGGCAACCTTGTCTACTTTAGAATGTCGAATGCGGATTGAAATTGTACAAGCTAGAAACATAGGTATCCTTATATTCTTCCTTTAAAGCAATCGAAAATTACATGATTTTTCTAATCCTGACTATGGAATTGTATTGGCATATTTGATATAGTAGAACTGATCTTTGGCTTATCATAATGCTTCTGACATATGTCTATTGTTCGCATCTCTCACCCTTGTTTGATATTAATAACATTCAAGTGATCAATTCTAGACGCGATGCTTCGAACTTTTCGAGTTGAGGTCATCATCTGGAGAACATCCATAACCACTCCATTTGGAGCCTCCCATTTCGATTTTCTTCCATTTCTTTTTGGGTTAGACACATTTGATGAACATGCGTTTCAACTAGTTTTGAACCTATGCTAGTTGTGGTCAACTATGCACACAGAAGCACGTCCATTACATATTTCTTATCATGTTTGTCACATAACCCGACCCTTTTTCCCTTGGAAAATTAATACATCTGCACAGTCGATTTTAGTGACTCATGCAACACATTGGGTGTGGTTCAAATGATTCTTCACACAAGAATTACACACTCATAGTGGTATACATGTCAAAATTATATTATTTTTGTATTCACTTTAGTTGCCCAACTCACTTTAGCAGGTAGGTAAAACCAAGGTGAACTGTCGTTCTCGATAGTTAGCCTCAGCCATTCTCGACAGTTGGCCTCTCCAGTCATTTCTGTAGATTAACTATTGGTATCGACAGATGAACGGTCCATACCTACAGTTGATGTCAGTTTTCCACGACATCTGTATCCTTGCACATATCTTCATTTTGTTTATCATCCATGTCAATATTTGTACCCTTACATATATGCTTGGCATCAACATGTCGACTACCTAGTCATTTTTCGTATGTCATATTATGCTTAATCTGTTGATTATGTGTTACGTTATGTGTTACATGATGATCTATTCGCTTCTTTTCTTGCAGTACCTTCTAAGACAAATGGAGTTTGAATTTCTCGTTCCAGAAAATGCTAGGTTGCAGGCTCACATTTCGCAACGGAGTAACTTAAAGTATGTGAAGACAATCCTGGAGCACTTCGACAACAGACAAGTCGAGGACTTTCGAAATTCATGCCTTGAGTTCTTCATCGAGGTGCCTGACATACAATTTTCTGCCTAGCTCATCCAACAGCTGGTGTTTAGATCCCTCCGCACTGATAAGACAAATGAGGTGTAGTTCAACGTACAAGGGCACATGACAAGGGGTGGACTATATGAGTATATGCTTGTAATGGAGGCGGTGTGACCACAAAGAGGCGTTGATCGGTACGCCTTCGACGTCCAGCACCTGTTACAAAGACTCTGCACACGAGGGAGAGGCGAAAAAGAATGAAGAAATAAGTGTATTGCCATTTATGTTAACAGTTTTTTTTTATTTTGCTTAGTCGGTGAGACTAGTACGCCATTTTCTTCAGGCATTTCGGGTAGTGACGATGGTTATATAATGTTGTCAGGCCACTGTGATTGTTTTTGGGTGACATTGTTTTGAGGCATCGTGGAAAAGAATTTTGTTATGGTCCTGAATAATTCACTGTGACATAAAAGGTAACATTTTTCACCGTTGTGCTTAAGAGCTTGCACTGCATTTGTTTTCACTACTAAATAATTTTGTAAAAAAATCAAAAAAAAAATTCCACTTTCTTCTTCACACATCAACGACTTGTAAACGACGAGCATTTTCAATTTTTAATAACCGTGGAAAAGAATTATAATCGTATCTGCTCCCAATAAAGATAAAAATTTACACAATCTTAATTCGAATGTTTTGATGCTATGAAGTTGTCATTATTGGTGATATTGCTCAATATTGAGAGAATTCTGTAGTTGAATGGAACTTTCACTTGTTTAATACTCCTCACTTATCTTTCTAGCTTCATCACTTTCGAATGTTATATGTTAGACTTTTCATTGTTCAAGGCTTACATTTTACCTTGTTATCATACAACGCAAACATTGAAATCATGTCCAATACCATGTTGGAACCAATCGGTGTCCCTGTCAAAGAAAGAGCTACGTTGACAATGTTCCACTTCGGGTGACTGCCGAGAATGCATGGAGGAACATTTTGTTTTATATTATTGTATATTTATTATTTGGGAAATGTTGGTTATGTTCAAGTGACATCACTGTCAAAGAAACTGTGTGGATTTAGTCCGGAAAATGTTGGTACGGAAATTGTTTCTGGCATACTTTGTAAGTTTCTTGCTTTTTTAAACTCGTTCAACCTAGAGATTAAAACTTGTATCCAATTGAAAAATGGAAATTTGTGCATTTTATAAGTTTCTCGCTTTCGGAAAATGAGGAAATTGGTGCATTTTATAAGTTTCTTGCTTTCGAATAAATGGAAATTATAAGTTTGACCAATACTCGGATCGTAGTTTATAAATGGAAATCATAGAGATTATAAGTTTCTCGCTTTTAGAAAAATAGAAATTGGTGCATTTTACAAGTTTCTCCTTTAAAACACCAATGAGAAAATGATAGCGAATGTCTGACCAATACAAGTATACTTTGTGGTTCAAGGCATCACACCAATTGTCTATCGAATTAAATTTGAGATGTGATGAAAATAAGTTGGTAGTTAGAAACTAATTGACCTTATTTAACCATCCTCCAACAAGTTTATTATAAATAGTAGTATATGAGTTCATGTTCATAATCCATCCCTTGAAAGACTGGAGAAGCTATTATGAGACTCCCATATTGAAACAATTAGTTGATACGAGATAATGGGTTCATCTACCTCCAGCAATGAACCATTCAACCCTAATATGCATCCGTCGATATTGGGTTTGGCTATTAAATTTCCCATCGTTTTATCCTTGAACGATGAGGAGTTAAGCGTTGAGCACCATCGTGCCGAGTTCGACAAAGTTTCAAGTGTAGAATCTAGGTCACCGAACAGCGTGCTCGATCAAGTCTTCAAGGTCAGGGATCCGGTCCAAACACCGTCCGACTTAGATGAGTGGCTGGCTCACCTTCCACCTCCAGAAATAATTGTCATAAACTCAGATGATTCTGATGAAGAAAGTGAGGGAGAAGCTTAAAATGGAGATAACAATGCAAATGTGCAATAAATGGCCCTTTTGTAGGAAATTATGTATAGTATTTTGTGGTAGGGATGATTTTGGTCACGTTCTCTGCATACGTACAGCAACAACATGTCCATAATGGGTAACCACAGTAGTGTATTTTTGGAAGCCGTTATTGCTTCCAACTATCAAGAATTACAGAAACAATTTGTCGTGAATGACATATGAACTATCGAGATATAATGTTGGTGTTTTGCTTGTGAATTGTCGTCTCATGAAAATCAATTTTTCATTACAACAAACTATCAATCGAAGCTAATGGAACCATAATGATCGGCTAAATTTATAATGAAAATAACGTATTCATCCCGTTTCTGCTAATGGAACCGTAATGATCGGTAGTTTGCTTGCTAAACATAACAATCAATTTTTTCTTTGCATATAATAATAACAACAAATTAATAACATAAGTTCGAAATGTAACTGTATAGGGGGGACATTTTCAGAATTACATTTGACAACCACTTTTACCACCAATTTAAGTCTTCATCGTCGCGTATTTCGACCTGAAGTATATTCAAATTAGGGATTTTGAACTTCAATATAATTTGAGTGCAGGGATCAAGAATACCAAGTTTGTCCTTCAACCTTAACAAAAGTTCGATTACGGTAATACTTGTCGGCACCGGAATAAAAGTGGTTTTGTCCCCTCTCCACTTCCATTCGTCATCCGTATGAACAAACTTTTACCCATGTGACACAATGAATCTCGAATGATTACTCATACCTAAAATGTTAAGATTGCAACGGTAAGAATTCAAAATCAATATCTTAGCATTTAATAGCATGAAAGTGGCACTGCATAATATATATATCCCAACAGTAAAACTATATATCCCGAGATTTTGTAAATGTCGAGTTCGACATTTCAAACGTCTAACACAACAGTTTGTAAATGTCAAATTCGACAGTTGAACTGTCGAAAATGTTGGGAAGCAAACGGTAGTGAATGGAACTCAGGTTTCTTCAGTACAGCACATTAAGTGTGATCATTACTATTGAGCTACCAAATGGCAAAATGAAAAGGTTAGATTGACCTTATCATTAAAGAGACATTGAATGAAAATAGTTTTTTGTTTGAATGAAAAAAATTACTCAAAACCTTAATGGTGATAATGACATTTGGTGAAGGACTCCAAATCCAAACAAATCAATGCATAATTGTTTCAAAAACTTCAAATAAATATGCCCATGTTTTATTTAACGTTTACAAAACAAAAAGCTATAAGAGTAAAATATAAATAATTTATAATTGCTAACATCTCAAAATTGATGAAGAATGCAACAAAAATGTTTTCTTGATCAATGAAAATGAAAAAGATGGAGAAAAGTTAGGGTTTTTAGTTTATGTTTCATTTTTAAATTTCTTTTACCCTTTTTTATTAACAAAAATTCATATTAATCAATAAAATACACATTTATCCATATTTTGTATATAGAAATTAAATTATCACATCAAATTAATGTTTTTCCTTCAAATCAAGCATTAAATGCTACAAAAAAAATGTATAATTGACTTTTCACCCCCAAAAAAGTGACATTTTTGCTCATATAAAGTGAAAATGACAAATTTTTAGAACTTTTTTTTTTGTGACATTTTTGTAAATTCCCCAATATTATTTGACACGATTATTGAATTATAGTGTATGTGTACATAAGAAGTCGAGTCTGTTCACTTATAATCCAATACACCTTGAAGAAGGTGATTTCGCTTTATGAACACAAACCAGATTGTATTTCAAATCAATCATCATTCGGATTGTCCCTTGTAAAAAAAATACGAATCATGCCCAACTAGACCACTTTATCTATTTTAGGCCATGTCTTTTAGAATCCCAAAAGTAGTTTTTTCACGACCATGAATGGATAATATACGTTAATTTAATTTAGATACGATGATATTCCCCTCTTTCAGTGACCTCACTCTTAACAACTTCATCATATTGTGCCGAGGGACATTGATACGATTCTACAGTCTAGTGTACTTCAGTCTAGGAATCTCATTATTAACATTAAGTTGAACTTTGATAATCAACACTAGACGTTCATATTATGATCTTGCTCAGATTATGTAAAAAGTATCACTGAGATGAGACTTATCATACATGGCAAAAGGAAAAACTCAATCAACACTTACCCAATTAAATTCTCGTTTACATTGCACATTGCTCAAATGAGAACGTGAGCTTGAACAATCTGGAATTAGAAGACACCACATACAAAAAAATAAAAATAAAGTTTACTCTACACTACTCGATCAATAATTAGGCAATCCAAATGCCTAATGATTTTCTAAGAGGCGTCAATACAACAATACCCAAGGCTTTAGCCAGTAAATTGATCTGTTAATTTTTAGCCTAAACATGTTCAATAGGGATTATCTTACTTTCATAACATTTTAACATAGTCTTTTCAATGTAAACCGGCCTAATGTTCAATTTAGATTTGGATTTGTCCATACTTGAAGAATTGTCTTGCATGTAAAACCTAGAACATCTAAATTTTATATGGATTTTGCTACTTGTACATAAATAAAATAGTTACTGAAAATGACGTGGATGGAAAATATCAGATGAAAAAGTTGATAGTGTTTTAAATTGACGGATGGTAAAGTGCCATGTGAAAATTATATAATTCTTTATGTAAGCCTTGATGTACATATAACAAAATCCATTTTATATACCTTTTAGCACCATGGGAAAAACATGTGGGAACAATTCTCTGTTTGCTTAAACTCTCAAATTTTCCCCTTCCTTTCTGTTTTAAATTTTTGTGCAAATATATGAAAGTTGGTAGATTTAGGCGTGTGTGTTAATCATGTCGGCACGTGTTAAATTTTTTTCCATGTTGGATAAATTGGTGCATTAATAAAATTCCGTTAACAAAAACACATGCATGCAAATGCGAGGGGAGCAACGACTTATCGAAACCATGGTACATTATAATAATGAGCAAATCATGACTTAATCAAACGAAGAAAATCCAGAAAATTAGAAGGAGATGAACAAAAGGAGGTATGCGAATGCAAATCTTCATGCTATGTGCCGGATTAGCTAAATCACCTTTCTCACACCTTGAATGGCTTCTTCGAGGGAGCCTGACCTCCAAATGTAAAAGACATAATTTTTTGGTGTCAATGCCTATCGACATTTTCATTTAACTACCAAATAAATACAGAATGGAAATGCAAGAAACTGAAAGTGCCTACAAGCTCAGACACGTTCACACACGAACTCCTAATGATCCACTAAGAGCTAACAACAAAAAGAAATTAAATAACTGCTCTATACACCACGACTCCATGAGTTGGACTAAGTTATATACAAATGAAAACATAAATTAAATAAATACAGCCCTAACCAACTTCGGCAACTGTCCCTGGCCCAACTTGTACATTCGACACACAGCACTTCATAAAATAGATTTTGCCTCATGCATTGGTATTAACGGGAGATATCCGTCTCCCTAGATACAATGCATTTTTCAAAATTAATATAGTACAATATTAATTTTGTCGGATGAACTAAGGCTTTGTTGTACTCTTCTAGAATGAAAGATATTGAATAAGCAATATTGAACACGAAATTCACAAATAATTCGAAAACTATTTTGACAGAATTTGGAGAATGAAAGAATCAGAAATCAATTATGTGGAATTGATTTGGAGTGAAGAAAATAAAATTTGGAGGGTCCTATTTATAGATTTTCACGTGTATCTTCTAATGGTTGCATTTTTAAAAAAAATTTTTTTTTTTTTGCACAATTAATTTTAACCATTAGATCGCATCATTTCATATTTAAAAGTATAGATTACAGCCTATCAAAAGGTTATGATTTTTTTTTATCATACACCATTTTGAATAGTCGCACATATTAAGAAACATAATGTCTCTTTGATTTGCACCATTCGCAATTGAAGAGTCACGACTGGTAATCGCTCCAATTGAAAACATTTCCAATTCACACCTATAAAAATATCTCGTCATTCAAACTATCCACTCATTATTTCTAGCCAAATTCAAATAGGTTGGGCAATGGGATTTAATATGGCCATTCCCACTAGAATAAAGCACTCATGGAGAGAATTGACCTTAATTGAAGACTCATTATGGCATGATCTGAGAGTTCTAGAGTCTGTTGGAACTGCAATGTAGAAGTAGTTCCAGCATAGCTCAGAATTGGCAGCAGAATTTCCTCTTTTATTCAAACTACAGCAATGTATGGCAGTGAATTTGCTACAAGTAGAAGTTCAAGCTTTCGTATTGACTTGAGCAATTGAATGCTACATCCTGGACCAATCAGTGATATGAGCTGTTGAAATTCTTTGGTCCTAACGGACTGGAGACCACTAGAGGACGTATTGCTTTTGACAGCCAGAGTACAGTTTTTAACGAGTTCATCTGCTGTTAGCAGGTTATCAATCTGGATCTCCCTTTTATAAACGATACCGCTTTGCTTTTTTTGATTCAACCATCTTCAACATAACCAAGGCCGTGTTTATTGTCAGCGTTTCTTCCATAATTGAGAATTTTATTTAGTCTAGCTGCCCCAATTGTAAGCTGCTTCACAGTATCTGTCAGAAATTCGGCGTGACACGTATTCCATTTTGGAGTTATATTTGGAATTGGTTATTTGACTGGAGAAGTTTTGAAGAAGTAAAAGACAACAAGGAGAAGGTTTCTCAATTTTGGCAGTGATCTCCTATTTCAACTCAAATACTCCGTTATTGATTTTACCTCTTATAATAGGACTTCAACTTGTATTAAATTCTTGTTTATATTAATTCTCCTATTGTGTTTGGGATTCTTTTGTTATAAATATGTGGTGTATTATATAAATATTTATTTGATCGTCTCAGAGAGTAATCCATGGAAGATCCAGGTTAATAGAGAAACTGACTAATAGAGATATCGGAGGAGAGCCTTGTGAGATCCCGCATAACATATTGTAACTCATTTCTTTTGATATAGTGAATCACCGCCTCTTCCCATGCATTTTTTTCCAGTTGGGTTTCCACATAAATATTGTATTCTTGTGATTTGACTTCATATCGCCATATTATCTTGGTATTCTCTGATAAACTGATATCAGAGCTATCACCGATTTTCTAACAAACGATATCAAAGCCAATGTTTAGCAATTCTTGGGAGAGCCTGTTTGGTTTCGTGTTAAAGTGAGGTTTGATAAACTCAGAACGAGGTATGATTGTTTTGGGATGACAAGTATGAAGTTTTATATTCTACTTTTGGATTGTAACACAAAATTTTCGTTATGGCAGATTTTTTGTTTGGACGTTGGAGGAGAAGCAATATAAGGATCAAGTTGTTATAAAGGGACAGAGAATTTCCTAGTTATATGTTCTGGAAGGTTTGATGTAGCTGTCACTAAATTGAAAAAAATAAATAAAAAATAAAAAAAAGGATGTTAGATTTCATGAGAGGTTCAGTGAGGCTAATTTGGTGGCTTATGGTTTGATAAGCATCCACTCAGATGGAGTTGGTTGTGATCGAGTTGATTGTGGTGATAATTTGAGCAAATTTGATATTGAAGAACTTGGTTCAGCTGGAGTTGGTTATGATATTGCTACTTTTGAAGATAATGTTATATATTTATGGTATAAATATAAAATGTCAAAGAAATAATCAAATTAGATGAAGTGTCGAAGTGGTGGGAAATGTGGTATTTGTGTGGGACGTCAGGGGTTCAAGTCACTCCCCACACAGATATTAAAATGTCTTGATTGGGGCCTTGGCTCTTGGGCTTCCTTGACTAAGATAAATTTTTTATTATTTACTGGGTAAAACTAGTCAGTATTTTCTGACCGTTTGTTTTTGTAACAACTCACTCACAGTCATTAAAATACTCACTACTCAGTCATTAAAATTCGGTATTACTCTCTGATCATGGTGGAGACTGTTACTTCCATTTTGCCTATATAAATCCATATCTCGTTTTGGGAAAAACACACATAAAAGAAAATAGAAAAATCATCTTGCATCAATCCTTCCTTTTCATATCCTAAATCTCTTATACTCTGGTTTTTACATATATTCTGGAGTACAATTGAGAGTTCTGGAAAAACCATTCGTGATTTCTACACAAGTGGTTTACGATCATTATATCCTGGGAGTGATTGTCTATAGAGGTCGCAACAATTATCGACGGGCAATTTCGCTTTAGGACATCATGCTGTCACGAGACTTGATTGGACGATAAGTTTTATATTTCTACATTTTATTGTTCTGAACATTACTGCAACTAATAATTTTTCCAACAGATAATTCGAGCAAATTTGATAACCATGATGATTCTCCAGATAAGCAGTGTTTGGATTCAATCGATTGTTACTGAGTTTGCCCATAGGGGCTTTGTGGAAGAGGAGGAATAATTTGTTTGGAGTGTTTTGTTTGGAGATTCTTGTTGAAGAGTTAAGTTTTATTCTTTACACTGGAATTTGTTTCTAGGTGGAGAATTTCTGAAATTTTTTTCATTGAAATGGAATTCGTGTTAAAGTGGAGATTTATTAGAATTTTGGTGCGACCTGAATTATATTTTTGAGGTATATTTGGAATTGGTTGTTTGAATTGGAGAAGTATTGAAAAGTAAAAGACGACCAGGAGAAGGTTTCTCGAATTTTGCTATTTTTTCCTTCTATTTCAACTCAAAGACTCCGTTATTGATTTTACCTATTGTAATAGAACTTCAATTGTATTAGACTCTTGTTTGTATTAATTTTCCTAGTGTGTTAGGGATATATTATAAATATGTGGTGTATTACACATTTATTTATTCGACCTGACGAGTAATCCATGGAAGATTCATGTTACAGATAGAGATATTGGGGGAGAGTCTTGTATTATCCCGCAAAACATATTGTAACTTCTTACTTTTGATATAGTGAATCACCGCCTCTTCCCATGCATTTTTTTCCAGTTGGATTTCCACATAAATATTGTGTACTTGTTGTTTGACTTCATATCGCCATATTATCTCGGTATTCTCTGACAAATTGATATCAGAGCTGTCACTGATTTTCTAACAATTTGTTTGATTGATTGATCTCCAAGACAAAACTGTCAGTTTGGACATCATTTTCTCATCGTAATTTTTGCATGATAGTGGTCTTGGATTTAACCAGATCTCGTTCATCCTTCATAACTGACACTAAGGTCTGTAGAGCTAAAGTTTTGTTTACTTCAAATTTTGTACACATATTAAAGTATAGAGTTTGTAGATCATCTCCATTGTTGGATTTACTCTTCCATCTGTTCAAGGTTCAAAACTACTCAAGGAGTGCTCAAGAGAGTCTGAACTAGTCTAAACGAAGGCACTAAAACGAGATCATCCAATTTTCTGAATTATTCCTGTCTCTTCTTTATCTCCCTCTAAATTCTCTCAGTTGTTCTGTTACAATCCAAATTTTATAGTCAAAAATTCAAATATTGACTAGTCAAAGTCAAAGTCAATCAAGGACTAAAATGAAATTAAATATTTTATTTGGGTTATTTTGCAATTGGCAAAATATAAAGGTTGAATTGGATATATTTAAAACTTTGGAATTTATATACATACTTTTGGAAGTTTAAGGATTAAAGGTTACTAAAAAGTGAAGTTAAGGGACTTAATTTGCAATTATGGGATTGTGGACAAATTAATTCAAACCTTTGACCCATTTTTTTGTCATTTCACACCAAAACACACACACACACACACACTACTTGAAGCAGAGACCGGGAAAGAAGAGAAAAAGAGGAAAAGAAAAAGGGAAAAAAGGAAAAGAAAAAGGAAGAAGAAGGGGAAAAAGAAAAGGAAAGGAGGTAAGGTTGATATCTTCAAGTTGGGAATTTTTCCATTTGTTTTAGGTGATAAAGTATGAATTATGTTAAAATTTTTAGAGTTTTAACTTGTTGAATAATATGTCGAATTTTAGGGATATTTGCACGAATTGGAGCTCAAGTGTGGGGATTTATTCATTTCAAATTTTCAGCAAAGTATGAAGATGTGAAATTTTTGGGAAAACCCTAGAATCCGATTTTGGGGATTTTAGTTAATTAATTGTGAAGTGATTATGTAAATGAAATATTTCACTTGGGAATTGATTTTATGGAACAAATGTATATTATGTGGGTGGAATTGTGATTACTAGTTTCATTAGATTGGAGAGTAAAATTAGTTTTAAATTTGAAATGATGGTTATGTTGATAAATTAGTGATTAACCAAGGGATTATAAGGTGTGATTAGCTCCAATTAATAAAGGAAAATTTGAGAATTTATTTAAGTACCAAGAGCATTTAAATTATGTTATATTATTAGATATTAAGGTTTCTCGATTCGATAGTGGATAAATTGGTTATCATTATCGTGTTTCAGGAGGTAATGAGGCGATTGGAAACGTCTATCAGCCTATCTAGCTTGTAGCTCATACCTTGTGAGTGGATAAAACTTATTTTTCATAAATAAGTCTTCATTATATTTTAAAGTTATTTATTGTATAAAGTTGACTTTATAGCAAGATTTTTAGAATAAATTGGATTTTATTAACAATTGCTTTTAAAGTTAAATTCAGTTTAATTAAATCATTTGACTAGCATGTTACATGAATATAAATGTTTCAGTATAGCTAAAGTTATTTTAAAACCATCAGAAAGTACCCAGGTGATTTTATCCCAGTCTGCACTGATGTGAATGTGTTTCCACAGTGTATGATTAGTTACAGTGATTTTACCTGCTCTGCACTATTGTGAATGTGTTTCCATAGTGTATGACCAGATTATCAGAGGTCTTTGAGACCCACTCTCGTACACACATAGGCTTTGGGCCGTGTACTAGGGTGATTAGCCTTTTGGGCAGCTCTGCGTACGTATGACCAGATTATCAGCTATCAGATTATCAGATTTGAATGGCTTTGCCTTGTACATCAAGATTACTCTGTACATGAGTAAGGCTATTCATTGGGTACTCTTTTTGGTGTGATTTTTCAGTATTTATTCTACTATCAGATTCAGATTATGAAATTCAGTTAATTCAGTTTTCAGAATAAAGCTTTCAGCTTATAGTATTAAGGCAGCAATATTTCATAATTTTTCAGGGATATCAGAGTATGTATAGTCATTATGTTATACAGTTGCATTTCTAAAATTTTGTCCAAGAAATTATGATATGATCATGTTTAGTTTTTAAAAGTGTTACTATTTTTCAGAAGTTCTTAACGTTAAATAGTGCAAGAATTTTCAGAAAATAGCATAAATGGAAAAGTTTATTTATTTTTGACTATCCACTCACTGAGTTGTAAACTCATATCTTTTTACTATGTTTTCCTATCAGGAGAAGGTCGATTTTGAGATATTTGGGAAAGCCTGCTGAAGCAAAAGAGACCGTTTCATAAGTATGTAATGAATAGTTGGGAAACCTATGTTTATTAAATAATTGTCTAATTTTGGGTGACAAGCATATTTGTAGAAGAGTTTGTAAGTGATGTAATACTTGCATGTTGACAGGATGATGTTGTAGAAACACTCAGTTGAATTTTGTTATATTTTGTAGTAGTTGTGGTGGTATTAGAGGAGGTGGTGGTTTCCAAAACTTTTGGTTTAAATGTCTATTTGAGATTTTGATGATTTTTCAGGTTGGTTTTGTCCATATTACAGGGGAAACTCTGTCAAAATTTTCATAGAAATTAGCACAGTCAAAATAGGTCAAGTTTGCCTTGGTGGTGGATCCGGCATTTAGCTGGCATCTACTACCGGCGCACGACACGTGTCGAGTCAATTAGGTTGAGTCGGGACGGGTCGTATCATGTTCACTTATATCGAGCTAATATCCTTCATACAAGTGGCACTAAATTTGATTGTTTGGCCTTATAGGTAGCTTTGAAGGATTTTGCTTGATCTTGGTTATGTACTTTCCTTTCTCGAAAGTTTTATTTATTGCATTTTTGCCCTTCAATTAGCTTCTTGGAACTTTTTGAATTTCAGATTGAGCATGGAGAATTTCTCTTCAAGACCGCTATCTTTATCAATTATCATTGTCTTCCACTTCATCATTCCGATAAACAATACCAGATGATTTATTCTTTTTTCTTTGGGTTGAGTTTGAGCTCATGGGTCATCATACAAGTTTTTCAACTTTGATGTATTCTATAGACTTGCTTTCTTCAATATGAGCTAACTTATGTATGAAATTTTCTATTAAATGACCTCATGATTTTCTTTACCATTATTATCTCGAAGTATTTTTTTGAGAGCATGAGCAGAATTTGAGATATCACATAGCCAAGCATAAAAGTCCTCGATGGGTTCGTCATCTTTGATTCTCGGGTTTTCAAAGTCGATTGCAAGCTAGAGTTTTGCATATTTGATGGTCGAGTTTCCTTTGTGAGTAGTCTCAAGTATATCCCAACCCTTCTTTTCTATTGAAAGCAAGTCAAAATGATTAGATTTCAAAAATGAGAAAATTGCATTCAAGCTAGACTCATTCAATTCAATGGTTGTCCACAATTTACGTTCCTTTTCTTTTTCAACTCCATTTCTTTTATCGGTAGGTAGTTTTTAATCCATTAAAATATAGCACTCCAAGTTGTTACATCTTGTTGTGAATTGATCACAAGATAATGATAGTAATAAAATAAATAAGAACACAATAAGACACTAAGATTTATGTGGAAACCCAAAATGGAAAAAAATCATAGGCAGAGAACGAAATTTCACTATAATCAATAGCAATCGTGTTTACAACATGATCCCAATATTCTCAATAAAGATCTGAAACCTCTCAAGATGTTGTATGAATATTATAACCTCTATACAAGTCATAAAGAATATATATATATATAGGAGTCCAAGAAACGCATTAAAACATGAAACAGGTTTGAATTAGATAACCTTGCAGGAAAGCGACAGATTTGCCGTTCAAGCTCCAAGCGGGCACCAAGTCTTTGTTGAAAATTTGAAGGCACCGATGAGTGCCAAACTAGCGGCATGCTAGCGAAAAATCGACAATTCTTCTTCTGGTCCATAATTTGGTCTCTTTAAGACCACTTCAGTCAAAACTCCAATACTCATTAGAATTTGGGTTAAGCTACAACAAATCTCCACTTTGAACCAAATTTCAATACAAATAATTCCAAAACACATCTCTAAAGTAAACACCACTCTACCTTTTACAAACAAGCCCCAATGGGCTAAATCAATGACAAACATCAAGTAAATGGTACCTCACATCAGTGTGCTTAGTCTTCTCGTGAAGCATCTGATCCATAGAAAAATAGCACTCTGATTATCGCAACACATGTAGAAATTTGCAACTCTTCACTGATTTCACCAATCAATCACCTCAACCACAGAGCTTCCTTACATGCTTCTATAATGGCCATGTACTCTATCTCTATTGCAGACAATGCTACTATATTCTGCAAAGTAGCCTTTTAGCTGATAGCACTGTCTCTAAGGATAAACACATACCCTGAAAAGTGATCTCCTTTTCATCAAGAGCCCTTGTATGATCTGAATCCACATACCCAATGACTCCATCTGTATTTCTACCAAAATGAAAGTAAGCATCAGTAAAGCCCCTCAAGTATCTGAATATCAACCACACTGCCTTTCAATGTTCTTAACCAAGGTTGGTCATATACCTACTAACTACACTGACTGTATGTACCAAATCTGGTCTTGTACAAATCATAGCATACACAATTGAATCAATTAGATTGGAATAAGGAACTTAAGACATATAATTGATGTCTTTATCTGACTGAGGAAACAAGCTAGATGATAATTTAAAATGAGTAGCCAATGGAGTATTGACAGCCTTTGCATTCAGCTTATTGAGCCTATGAAGCACCTTCTCAATGTATCCTTTCTGACTCAAATACAATCTTCTAGCTCTCTTATCCCTTAAGATCTCCATACCAATAATCTTTATTGTCTCACCCAAGTCTTCCAACTCAAACTCTTTACAAAGCTGAGCTTTTACTTTTCTAACTCCTGCTTTATCCTTGGTTTTTATGAGTATATCATCATCATATAACAATAAATATGTAATCAATCCACCATCTTCCTTTCTAAAGTATACATAACTATCATAACTATATTTAATGAAATTATGAGTAGTCACGAATGAATTGAATGTTTTATACCACTACCTCAGCGACTGCTTCAATCTATACAATGACTTATTCAACAAGCACACATAGTCTTCTTTTCTAGAAACTATGAAACCCTCTAGCTGTTGCATGTAAATGCTATCCTTATCTTCTCTATACAAAAATGCTGTCTTGACATCCATCTGCTCAAACTTCATATCATTCTTAGCCACAACCCCAATTAAATCTCAAATTTAATTACGTTTTACAACTAGTGAGAACATGTCTGTGAAATCAACACTTGGAAAATTGTCTTTTTATTTGTTCCTGCATGAAAATTGTCGATAATTTTTTTCTATTAGATGCGCAATAATCTTCACAAAAGATATTAGTACTACCAACATAATGGTAAAAGAGTTAAATAAAGAACAAATATATCTCATCAAGTCTTTGCTAAATAAAGATATGGAAAGTTTTTAAAATCATGCTACATGTATAACGATGGTTGACAACCATGAGTTGGATTAAAACGTATCGTAAAATAAAACTAAACTTTAAAAAAATATAACTTTTGTCCTAATTACAATAATTGAAAAAAGAAGAATTACTAAATCATAAAAGTAAAATATTAAATTATTCAATAATATCTTTATTATACCACCGGTGGCTAGTTCTAAACTCCAAATCCTTGAACCTCAATATCTTCAGAGGGGAAAAACTATAAACAATGAGATAAAATCCCAATAAATGAGCCACATAAATCACAATTCATATTTAAAGTAGGAATTCTTAATGTACATGAGGAGACACGGGGAGTAGAAATCGAAATTAGGTGGCTAGGGGCGAACCCAACCTTCTTGGGTTGTGGGGTCAAAAATTAATAAGTAATTTTTTTAAACAATATAATATTAATGAAAATAAGTTAATATACATTTGACACCTTGAAAATGTCTTATAATTATATTATTATCAATATTATTAAATGAATTTTGTTAAATGTATAGTTTTATTTACCATGTCATTTATGGATGTTGAGCTAACGGCAAGTAAATCAAATTGGATGTAGAAAGTAAATGAATTGAAATAAAATTCACATTGAATTTAGGAAGTAAATGAAATTTAAGTTTAATGAAAAAATAATTTTAAAGTAATTCAAATTACATTTAATCCTCAACGATTTTAGAAATTCTGACGTCATTTTTTTTGTAAAATTTCCTAATAAAATGATATAAATTATATTGGAAAATTCATCTTGCAAAAATAATAAACGTTAATGAAATAATTGATTTTTTTAAAAAAAAGACAGTTAAATACCTCTTTTAGTACGTGCATTTGACCAAGGCTGCACAAAAAAATCGCGTAACTACAAATCGAACCGAAATCGTTGAGTTGAAACCGTTGGTTTGGCTCCACGTGGACTGTGGTTTCTTTTCCTTCAAACCGTTTCAAAATGATTTAGTTTGGGTTTTGATTTTCAAAAACCGCACAAAACCGAACCGAACCATTTTGAAATTTCTTAATTAAAACATTAATTTTATTAACTTAAAAATTTTACAGTTTTCACTTTCAAAAAAAATAAATCAATTGAGCAATTTAAATTACAACGAGCCTATTGAAATAATTATAGAAAATAAATTAGATTTATCATTATTGACCTATGATTTAACAGTTTCACAATACGTGTCCACCTCACCCGAAAAATTATTTCAAAATCATATAAAAAAAACATATATTTTCAATTATTCAAATCATAATTTTAACAAAACTACGTGATGTCCAACATTTCAGAAGTCCTAATATAAACTTTCATTTCCCTAACATTTGATGCTTGTTTGCCACTGCTAAATGAACCTTCAGTCGTCTTTGTCTGTTAGTCTAATAATCTTTATTTTTCTCTCTTCTCTTTCAGTAAGTCTTAGATTCTTATTCAAGCCATTTTTCCATTATTCTTTCTTTTATTTGTTTTTTTTTCGAACTTATTATACACTTGTGAGTTGTGGTTTGGATAGAAAAATGATTATTTGTGTGTCTAGATGATTAATGAATTTATTTGTGATTTGAAAAGAATGAAGAACGGAGCGTATTGATTGTGTGAAAATGTTAAAGTTTTTTAACTACTACTACCTTCTGCTTTCATAAAGTACTTAGATGATGAAATTTGTCAATTTCCAATAAATCGAAACTCTATCGATCTTTGTACATATAAACATATCATGTTCAATCCTTATTTAACATCTCACTATCAAGACGAAAGGAATTATAATCAAA